AATATCATTTATACGTAATATATAATACTATAAATATAAAAAAAAACATAAACATACACACATACATCCATACATATATGCCTGCATTGATGAACACACAAGGGGTTATTTTGATGACTCCGTCAACAAGTCTCCATAAAGCTTGCGTACTCTGGTCTTAAAGATTGTTCGGTTGGTGGATGTCCTGATCTCTAGGGGAAGGGCGTTCCAAAGATTTACCGCTTGGACAGTGAAGGAAGAATGTACGATACCGGAGCTATGTGAAGGACAAAGAAGGAGGAAATTATCAGCGGAGCGAAGGCTTCTGTCATGGTTGGAGGATATGCTTCTAGCCGTCGTGTGAATCTGTCAATGACGGTGAGGCAATACCTGTAATCATTGGACAGAGTTAGGGGCCCTACGATGTCGAGGTGTATGTGAAAGTACCTCGAGGAAGGGGGAAGGAAAGACGAAAATGGAGAGGTGGTGTGACGGGATATTTTGGTTTCTTGGCATTTCAAACATTGCCTAGCCCACTCTCTACTGTCTCTGCGAATTCCTGGCCAAACAAATTTTTGTGTCACACAGTAGCAGAACCTCCTGGATTGTGTAAGTTGTGTAGCGATTCGAAGACTTGCGGAATTCGGGTGTTACATATGGTCGAAGTGTAGGTAGTGTAGTATCACATAAAATAGATTTACTGCTAGCTAGCTAGTCTAGCTTAATTTTTTTTAGGCCCTAGGGCAGTACCATTTTTAAGCAGCTCTTGCAGCTCTGGATCGTGTTCCTGAGATCGTGCAAGAGACTGGAAATCAATGGCGGTTGTCACCTCTTCAACACGCGACAGAGCATCAGCGACGACATTCTCCCGTCCAGGTATAAATCTTATGTCTGTCGTGAATTGAGCGATAAAGTCAAGGTAGCGGTTCTGCCTAGGTGAACATTTTTCTCGGATTAACGAGAAAGGAAACGTGAGAGGCTTGTGGTCCGTGAATACCGTAAAGTTTCTTGCTTCCAACATATGCCGAAAGTACTTAATGGCCTCGTACACTGCAAGTAACTCTCGGTCGTACGGGCTGTATTTCTTCTGTGAAGTACTTAGCTTGCGAGAGAAGAATCCCAAGGATTGCCAGTGTTTGTCCTTGCGTTGTTGCAGCACTGCGCCGGTTGAAAGATCGCTTGCATCAGTATCAATGGCAAGTTCAGCGGTGGAATCTGGATGCATCAGTAGTGTGGCCTGTGACAAGGATGTCTTACACTCCTCGAAGGCCTTCTGCATTTCCGGAGTTAGAGTGATAGGTTGCGAACCTTTGACGTGCGGGCCAGCTAAGATGTTAGTGAGCGGTGCTTGGATCTTTGCAGCGTTAGGAATGAACGTACGGTAAAAATTGAGCATACCGAGGAAACGCTGAAGTTCCTTGATGGTCTTCGGTGGTGTACAGTTCTGGGTAGCCTCAACCTTTGTCTCCAAAGGTTTGGTACCAGCTGCTGAAACTTGGTAGCCGAGAAAAGTTATCTCCGACTGACCAAGTTTGCACTTCGAAGTGTCGACCAAGATCCCATATTGTCTCAGGCGTTTAAACAGCTGACGTAGGTGGTGCTGGTGGTCTACTGGTGTCTCCGAGAAGACCAGGATGTCATCTAGGTACCCATGGCAGAAATCCAGGCCAAGAAAGACTTCATCGATGAACCTTTGGAAGGTCTATGCAGCATTCCTTAAACCAAAGGTCATGTACTGAAATTCGTACATTCCGAAAGGTGTTGTGATGGCTGTCTTGGGTACGTCTGCTGGATTAACCAAAATATGGTTGTATGCTTTCACCGGGTCGATGGTGGAGAAGATGGAGCATCCTGAGAGCTGGTAAGCGAAGTCACTTATGTGCCGGATCGTATACCGATCGGGAATGGTCCTGGCGTTAAGTGCACGGTATTCGCCGCATGGTCTCCATCCGTCGTCCTTCTTCTTCACCAGGTGTAGAGCGGAAGACCGTGGACTCTCTGAGCGTCGAGCTACACCAGAAACAAGCATGTCCTCAAATTCTTTTTTCGCTGCTTGAAAGCGAATTGGGTCAAGACGTCGAGGTTTGCAGGCAACTGGTGGACCAGGAGTAGTCCTTATGAAGTGCAGAGTATTGTGCTTGGGTGGAGAATGTACTTCAGCTGGTCTAGTGATCTCAGCAAACTCGCGCAGTAAAGAATGGAATTTAGACTCACCAGAAACGGCCTTGACGGAAGCGATGTTATCTAAAGTTCCTAACGAAGTAGCTGCTACCGAAAGTGTTGTAGTGCCATCAACCAAACACTGGTTTCTACAGTCCACTAGAAGGTTGTAGTGGCTCAGGAAGTCTACGCCAATAATTGGCTTCGACACATCTGCAATGGTGAAGTTCCACGTGAAGTCTCGCCTAAGTCCCAAATTGAGGTGCAATTGTGTAGGTCCATAAGTGTGTATGATAGTGTTATTAGCTGCCACGAGATCATATTTGGACTTACTGCAGGGCGTCTTGGTCGAAGATCGCGGAAAAACACACACAGCTCGGAACCAGTGTCCACAAGGAACTGCATTTTTGTGACGCGATCAGTTACAAACAGACAGCCTGTTACTGAGGGTGGCAGCCGTGGGCCGCTACTTCCGACCGCCCTTGGAGTTTTCCGAGTTGAAGGTGCATGGTTACATGGTGGTATGGTACACTTGGAGGCTTTGGCACCATAGGTGTAATGGTAGAAGCAGTGGGGATGACCTTTTGGCGGTTGCCTTGTTGATTGATTAGTAGTCTGTAGTACACTGACTGCTGGGAGCCGAAGATCGGAGCCCTTGCGCTCCAAATCTGCCACGGCTGGCGAGAGTGGCGGCTCCAGCGAGAGCATGGAGGTGAAAGCGGGACCGAGAGAGAGCCGGAAAAGCGAACTCTCGCGGGATGGGGAAGATAACCCATCCATGAAATCGGGGCCTCCCAAGGGCGGCCCAGAGGACGGAGGTCGCATACCCCTGTCCCCGTCCCGTCAGGGTCCGCCTTCTCCAAGGCGGATTCCTATAGACGGGTACGAGCGGACGGCGAGGCCGTAGCGGAGGAGGAGATCGCGGGTCTCCTGCTCAAGATTCGGGAGCCGGTGGAGGGAGTTGCCCCCCGGGCGCCCGTGTCTGTGCAGGAGAGGGCGAGAGCGGCGGTGTCTATTATACAGAAGGTAGCCACCAAGTCGGTTAACCTTAAGGGCTCTTTTGTGAGGGCCCTTAAGGACTCCTCCTCCGCTATGTCGGAGGTCGTGGAGGGCCTAGTAGGCGACGTGTCTCGCCTACAGATGGCCAATGACAGGCTGACGGAGCAGGTGAACGAGCTGAGCGCTCAGTTCGCCCGCTTCCGGGCGAACCTCCCCGAGCGGGGGGCCCCGTCCACGCCCCAGCCTGTCCCTACCGCGACCTCAGGGATACCTGACGCCCAACTGCGGTCAATTCTTGACGCAGTTGGGCGTATGCTGGACGGCCGTCTGGCCGGTCTGGAGGCAAGCGCCGGTCGTGCGCCTCCCGCTCGTCGTCGCAGCGGCCTAAGGCTGCTGCTCCGACTGCGCTCCCTGTTGTGCGTCATTCGCGGCGGCGGCGTCGGCGTCTGCCCCGACTCCACCATCGGCTCCCCAGGGGCCGAGGAGAGGGGCCAAGACACCGGCCCAGGCGCCAGTCAAGGCGCCGGCAGGCCTAGGCGCCGGCCCAGGTGCCAGGCCAAGACTAAAGCGGCGAAGAGGAGCGGAGTGGCTTTACCTCCGCTCCCCACTCCGACATCTCTGCCGGGCCCCTCCGCACCTGCCCCCTCCAACGAGGGTTGGCAGGAGGCGAGGGGCTCAAAGAAGTCCCGAAGGCGGGCTAGACGGGCTGCTCAAAAAGCGGCCCAAGCCCAGCCTTCACCACCGGTGGCAACGTCCTCTACTAAGAGGCCGCGGAAGCTGCAGCCGCCCAAAAACCGCGGCTGTAGTAGTCACGCTGTCGCCGGAGGCGGCCACCCTCCAACCTTCCCATGGCCCTACCAACCTCTCGGTTATAACGGGCCGAAGCACGGGAGGGACACGCGCTACTGGCTTTCTTGACTCCCTACATATTATTTATCTCTTTATCCGTCCCTATGTCATTTGGACACTCTCCCCCTTCTGGGGCTTGACAACACATAACAGCGACTTCGTCATTCGCGCTCTATAGCCGCTGTTATCGCTCCAATTTGCTCCTTATTGATTGATTCTTCTTCTTCCTTCCGCGAAGCACCGTAGCCGCCCAAAACTCGCCTCAGAGCAGACACGGTCGCAACAGCACGCCGATCTACCCACTAGCCGAATATTGCGACGTTTACTATGGATCTACAATCCATAGTTGGTGGTCGAGATCAGTCTGTGTTCCGCGTTTAGCCGAGCAGGGCAGTCCCTCGATGCCGTGGTGTGCGTATTAGCCGCTTGGTGACCAAATTTGGTGCAAGTCGCACAGCATGATGTTGGCGACTTGCAGTCCTCGTTTTTGTGGCCCTCTTTGCCACACTTGCTGCATGTTGGAGTATCCGCACGGCACAGCTTCTCGGGATGGCCATATTGCTGGTTCTTTCGACAGCAGGTGACTTCGGCGTAATCCTCTACCACGACTACCTCCCAGCCAATGTAAAGCCGCTCTTTGGACACTAGAGCTGTCCGTAGTACAGGGGAGCATGCCAGCACCACGGTAGTCCGGTGACCCTCCTCTTCTTGACTTCTTGAAAGCCAGTCGGGCCTCCTTCCTTAGCTTGTCCAGAGTCCAAGTCGGGTCGTCCTTAAAGTTCTGGTCGTGGGCCGCTACCAACACATCTTCAAATATGGGGTCGCCCTCCAAATTCCTTAAGGCGACAAGGGGAGATCTAGACTTGGCATCCCTGACTTGCAGGGTTGCCGGCATTGCTGCCTTTATCTTTTGCGCTGCCTCCTGCGTCGCCGTCTTCAAGATGAGCCCCGAGTTGGCGACCCGGCGGAGACCCACTATTTGGCCCCAGGCTCGCGCGGCACAACCGATTTCTTCAGCGCCAGTTTCGTTTCCTCCGCAGATTTGAGTTCGCTGCCTTCAGCCGGGTATATTGCCAAAGTTGCAGCGGGTGGGGGGGAATGTTCAGGGGTGGTGCCTTAGGGGCCCGTTTCAGCGCTCTCGCATAGTTCACGGTCTGCCAGCCCTCATTGACGGAGCCACCCGCGGCTCCAGCCGCTGCCGCTTCCGATCTTGCCCGTTCCGCTTCGGCCTCTGCTCTTGAGGCTCTTGCAGCTTCTCGCGCACGGGCCTCATCTAGGATGTTATGCTGGCGCTGCATTTCGGTGGCCGCAGTTTTCTGGCCCTCCACTGTGATGCATCAGTGCCCAACGATTTCCATCAATATCCGTAGCTGGGCATTAATAGCCGCCAAGTCTGCCTTGTTCAGGCGGGACGCCTGCCCGCCCGCAACCGCCTCTATACCACGGCATGCCGCGCCCGCCTTGGCGAGCAGCTGCCGCGCAGATGCCTTGCCCAGTTCTTTGTCCCCGAGGAGGAAGCCGTCATCCCCAGAGGAGAACGGCGATCCGTACTCCGTCGCTGGCGTGGGGGGCGCAAGAAGTTTGGACGAGCCGCAGACCACCGACAGATCGCGGGCGCTGCGGCGCTTTGGATCCGCATTCGCCTGTTCATCCGGCGACAGAATCCGCTTCGCGGCCGCCGGGCGCTGGCGCTCAGTAGGCGCCGGGGGGGGACTTGGGCTCCGCACTGATGCGGGAGAGAATGTCGGGGTCGGGGGATATCCAGGGATGCCCGGGGGCGTCCTGGCGATGACTGCGTCGTAGGCCGCTTGGGCAATCAATAGCACCTCGGACGGAACCATCGTGGTTCCACCGGGCGTCACGCGCACTTCTATTGTTGGGATACCCGGCGCTGTTCCGGCTATGACCGCGTCGAAGGCCGCTTGGGCCCTCTCCAGCGCCTCGGGCGGTGCAGTGCCAGTCAATCCCGGGTTAGCGCGCCTCTCTCCTGGTGGGGTCCTCCTAAGGGACCCCCTCGGTCTTAACGGGTCCCTCTGACGGAGTAGGGGGAGCCTCCCCCCCTCCGAGTCGCTGCTACTCATTGCTTACACTATATGAAACAAGAAAATAATAAAATAAAAATATTAAAAAAAAAAAAAGTCAAAGTTCGGCGGTAGTGTACCCACCGATGGGATACACTGCCTTCAACACACTATTGTACACGCAGTACTAACAATTCGACCGTAGTCGAACAAACCAGAAGATCGTCTATGAACAATAAAATTCAAAAGTTGAGTCCTCTCACCCACACCGGGCTCTTCCGCTAGTGCTCCAGTAGGGTACCGCCAGTAGGGTAGACGCACGCGTCACCCGCGCGCCCCCCATAGGCAACAGCAGCGCCACCATTGCACTTCACTTGTCACTGTCACTTATGTCGCTTGTGTCACTGTCACCTGTCAATTACACCAGCTCCGAGTGTCTATCTCACTCACTACCGTACTAAAACCAAAATGGCCGCGGGCTCTTACGGGCGATCACCCAAGCGAGACAAGGAGGGACCGGGATTTTAGCACTTTACGTTCATGTATTTCGTTTCGTTTACGTTTATATATTTAGATTTAATTATCTCTAATTTTTTTTTTCTGTAGTTTTCAATTTTTTCTGGATCTTGTTTAAGGCGCTCTCTATAGCGTCTCTGCTTTTCTGCGTTTGTTAATGGCATTCTTGAATTTACTGCAAACAATTACTTTTACCTTTAAAACTAGCTAATAAAGATGGTTTTTAGTAAATACCTAACTACGTTTAAGTCAAAAAAATAAACAAACAAAATCTCATCCTAAACGCATATACCTGCTTCATTCCGCCATGTGTAAAAAAAGATTAATTAACAACATTTAGTAAAATAATTTGCATATTTATTGAAAGGAACTACTGAATTATTTATGAATAGACAGCTCTGTCTCAACAGACATTGTCTTGTGTACCCGATTGGCAGCGCGGGTACAATCTCAACCATTAAAATTCAAACTTTCTTTAATATCATGAAGATTCCTAGGCAATCACGTCAACTTAAAACTGAAATCTATTGTGACCTCAAAAACACAGCTCAGCTGAAAAGAAACTCAGCGAGGGTTTTTTATCAGGGGAATTCAGGAAACCACACTCAAAACCACAACAAAAAATCGTAAAATAGAATATAACCCTAGAACCCGATTGAAGTGCCACCTACTTACTGGGTGTAATTGTTAATCTAAGCCATCTACGACCCACTTAAACACAAAAAATCATTCAAAATCGGACAAAAGCTTATACGTTGAATAAATGTGCTACCCAATGGTGAAAACCCCATCCAAATAGAATCAGTAGTTTTTGAGAAAATCGCGGACAACCATATATACGTACATATATACAAACATATAGGTTAAACTGAGAACCTCCTTTTTTGAAGTCGGTTACCAAAAGAACTACATACTTATAGACATAAAGTAAAAAATAATTCCCTCCCTTATATTGTGCCATAGTTGGGTAAAAATGCAATGTAGACTCTGCCTTACGTATTCCTATTTTGTTACTTCCTATTCTTCTTATACATAACCACGCAAAAGTAACCAAAGAGGAAGTAACGAACAGAGACCATAAGTTTCATTTCATGTATTTCTACAATAAAAGTGATAAAATCGACTGTATGTGATAAGATATCAAAAATTTATTATACAATTATCTATTCTTAATACTATAAACATTAAAAATTATAAACTTACCCTTGTTAATACAGTTACAAAACAAGAAGAAAATTTTGAATCCGGCGAGCACCACACAATGAAACGATATTTTCAAATGAATTTGACAAGTGGCAATGCTACTTTTAGCTTTACGTTCTTTTCAAATGTTACCAGTGCACAGAAAACCATAATCTACTAACTTGTTTTTAAATATTTTCCATAAACCACGTAACAAAATAAGAAACGGCATAAGGAACTTTTTAAAGACATGTTATAAAATATATTTATTTTTAAAATATGCATTGTTTTTCGCAAAATTGTATATTCGAGTGATAAATTGATAGTAACAGCGTAAAATAGCACCAAAAAATTTAATGCCAGCCCATAATATTTAAAAATAAAGCTTATGGTGTGTTGTTGTCTTCATTATTTTTAAAATAATATGTAGGTCTTCTTCAGTTTATTGTTGAGTTTATTTTACATTTATTGTAAGTATTAATATTATATTATAAATCTAAGGATTCATGCTACTTGTTGCTTCTTGGGTTGATGCGACAAGAGGGGGAGTTGACATAAAGCACATTTGACATTTGTCAATCATAGACAAGGTAACGTTCCGTTACTACATCATCCCCTTTTACAAATATTAAAAAAATGAAACATTCAAACATTCTGCCCCTTAAACAAATTATTAACATTAAACTGCTTTTAACAAAAAATAAGAACAAACTTCTGTTATTACAATAATTCCATCATCCCCTTTTACAAAATAACAATCTTAAATACTAAAGTACTATAGTATTAGGATATTACATCAGTCTTAATTACTACAATATTAAGTTACACTGCAATCACACAATCAACCAGCAAGCCCCTCCTCTGGTGAACCACAAAGTCTACGCTGGTCGAATGAAGAAAGAGGTTCTGGTATAATTTACATTATTGTTATCCCTAATGTTAAAAGACCTATTACCATTATAACTAACAATTCTACCTTGTAACCATACATTCTTTTGCGGCTCTTTTTTAAACCATATATTTTGACCAACATTAAATTCTTTTTTCATTCTACTCGTCTTATTATAACTCTTAATATTTCTCTCCATTTGTTTACTAAATTGATGCTTTACATTACTATTTAATTTTGGTTCCAAGTATTTATGTGAAGTTATTAATTTTGTTCTTAAATTCCTATTCATTAACAATTCACAAGGAGAGAAATTTGTTCCAGTAACTGGTGAAATTCTATATTTTAACAAAGCTACTCTAAAATCTGTATTATCCTCATTACACTTATACATAATTTTTTTAGCTATCTGAACTCCTCTTTCAGCCATTCCGTTAGACTGCGGGTATCTAGGACTAGTGTAAGTGTATTTAAAACCCCATTCTTGCGCAAAATTTTTACATTCACGAGAATCAAATGGTACATGGTCTGATACAATCTCAGAAGGAACACCAAAGTTACAAAATAAATCTAGTAAACTATTATTAATTGCACTTGCAGTTTTGCTGCTCAGATACTTAATGTCTAACCACTTGGAGTAATAATCATATATTATCAAATAACTTTTCCTCTTAAAATCCATGATATCAATACCTAACTTTGAAAATGGTAAACTAGGAACTGTATGTGAAATCAATGGTTCTTTTACATTATTATTTTGATAAGTCTGACAGGGGAAACATTTTTTCACAAATTCTTCAATGTGACTATCTATATGAGGCCAATAGTATAATTTCCGAGCTAACTGTTTCATTTTTGACATACCTAGCAAGTTGTATTCATTTAAATTAGTCGAGTCACCATTGTGTCAATGCTCAACACCTAACTCTCATTATGAACAGTCTGCTCATCATATCCTCTGGGAATGTAGTCTTTGGTATAATGAACGTAATATAATGCTGAATAGCTTGCAGGTGACATCTGGGGCGGTATACTATGGGGATCTTGTGTCAACTAGGGTGAATTTCCGTGCGTTTAGGCGATTCTGCCATACATATTATAGAAATCAAATATAGCTCATGTAGGACCCGTAATATTTTGTGGCCGTGGTGCTTCCCTGTTTAAAAGGGTGTATGCCTATTTTACTTCATTTTGTCTCCCGCTTTGCTAAGGAGGGAAGTGGATTTACTGTATTTCCAACTCCTCCAATTTTCTTCTGATTAATTTCGTTGCGGGTTCCAAGACAGTTTAATTTTGTTGTGGCCGTTACCTTCGATAGTTCCGTGGTGAGTAATGGATCCTAGGCACGGGTTAGGGCCTTCCCGGAATCCTTGACCTATTCTAACTGGGATGCTCAAAACAATTGCGAAAGCCGTATCCAAAACAAATCACAGTCTTACCTTGTTTGCCGTCGTCGGTGATAGTTGTGTGTGTGGGTAGTTCAACCGCCGCCGAAGTAATATCGACCGCGCCTTGTGGTCAAGCGCGCACGTCCGTTCACTAGAAGACGTCGAGAAGAAGAGGGCGACCCAAAAGCGTTCACCAGTGAGGCGTTCACTAGTGCGCCAACTAGTGAGGCGAACCGATTAATCGCCAAAAATCAGCAACCTGGCTCGACTGCCAATTATCCGAACACAGCCCAAGCAAATTGCCTTAACATCCCGCCGCCTAAGCAAGCCCGCCTTGCTTACCTAACATAATAAGGGCAATCTACACAATTTAGAGATCGGTCTCATTAAGATACCGCCCTGAGTTCTTACCTCCGCAACTCTAACTATACCGTCTCTACCGGGTAATAATTTAACTAACCGACCGCGTCTCCAGTGAAGAGGAGACAAATTATCATCCTTGATCAAAACTAAATCATCGATTTTAGGAGGTTCCGTTACCGAAGTCCATTTATACCGCTGTTGTAGAGTATGAAGATATTCATTTCTCCAACGTGACCAAAAATGTTGTGACATCTTTTGAATTTGTTGATAATGCGAAAGCCGAGACACATTAACATCCGCATAAGGATACTCTGGAAGCGCCACCAGCGGCTGCCCTATTAAAAAATGCCCGGGTGTGAGCACTTCCAAATCCGTAGGGTCCGAACTAAGGGGGCATAAGGGCCGAGAATTTAGGATAGATTCCACCTTAGTAAAAACCGTCGAGAGAGATTCAAACGTAAGCTTAGCCTCTCCAAGGACGCGTCTGGCATGTGTCTTTGCAGACTTTACCACCGCCTCGAACAGACCGCCCTGATTCGAAGCCGTCGGGGCATTGAACAACCATGTTATATTCTCCCTGGCAAATTTTCGTTCTAAATCCGAGTGATTATTTCGCAAAAAGATGTACAATTCCTTCAAATACTTATCCGTTCCCGTAAAATTAGTACCACAGTCTGATCTAATCAAGGAAGGTAGTCCTCTTCTAGAGATAAACCGTGTAA